GATGTTAAATACTTTAAAACTAACAATAAATACTTTTATGAAGGGTTTAAATCATGCCTTGAATTAGAGCACGATGAGGCGCAGTTGAAAAAATATTTTAATGAATTAATAAAAACTTGTGAATTAGCAGGTGAAAGTTCCGTAAATTATGTGTTTAGTTTTGACGGAGTGGTCAGAGGATATGAAAGACTTATAGAAATACAAAAACAACAAATATCTCATGTACTTCGTTAAAAATGACTTAAGGAAATAATGACTCAATATATTATAGTGAAATGTTGTTTAACTATAACAAGTGCGAATTCTGTAAAAATACAAAGAATGATGTTAATATAACATTGTATAAGTTATTACCCGCCAATCTATGTAATAAAATAAGTGAATATAATGTATATTGCAATCAATGCTGTATAACAAGAGACCTTGAAACGTTTTTTCTTGAAGAACATAAGGATAAGGGATATACAAAGTTTCAATTACAATTAAAATTCTTTATGCGACACCAAGCAAGATTTCCTATACACTTTTACCAGAAGATTTCCAGAAAGTCATTTGAAAATGAAATTGATGAATTCTTTAGTAATATAGATTTAGTTAGGAGGTTTGGAGGAACAAACGCAATTAAACCATATAAAGCATTTGTCAAAAAATACCGTTATTTGTTTGAATGGATTGACTGGCATTTATTAGACAAAGATAAAATAAACGAAGTCTTGAACGAATTTAGAGTAACTGAATATCATGTATTGTATTACCGCAACACCAAATATAAAGTATGTCTATTAGTGAATTTGTTTTTCTGGGAATATATTTATTCAATAATAGGAAAAGAAAATATCAAATATATAGACATTGGTGATATTGATAAATATGTAGATTACATATTTGAAGACTTGTTACCTGACCATTATTTTATCCCATAAACCTTACAATAAAAACATTGTAAGATTTATGTTTTGTAATATTTTGTTAATAATTTAAGTTTATATTCATTCTTTGAAAATGACTTAAGGAAATAGTGACTTAATATATTAGTGAGAAAATGAACGGTATTGAAATCAATAAGTATATTAATAGGAAATGCTATGACTGTTGCCACTTTAAAAAAGAAAATATGGAATTGTATAAATTAAATTTACCTAATGGAATAATAAATAATATTATTGATTATTCAATGGATGAAGAAGATGTATGTGAAAATTGTAAAACCTGGAGAGATAACCAAGCTACAATCAATTGTTTGTTGAGAATAAAAGGAAGACATAATAGAAATGTAGAAGATGATATTTTGATATTTTTAACTGTAAATAAATTACCATCTTACGAATATGTTAAACAGTTTCTTAAAATCAGTGAGACAAAATATGTAATGATTTCTGATATATTATTGATGTTGTGTTATAGTCAAAAGAAAGGAGAAGAGATTAAAGAATATATCAAATTTTATTTTGAAATTTATAAAAAGTTTAATGTTAAAAATACAGTGAGAGATATTAATATTATTTTTAAAATGATGTATGAAATAAGTGAGATTTGTCAATTAAATTATTATCCTGAACTTAAATTATAGATTACACCATAAACCTTACAATAAAACAACATTGTACGATTTATGTTTTGTAATATTTTGTTAATAATTTAAGTTTATATTCATTCTTTGAAAATGACTTAAGGAAATAGTGACTTACTATATTAGTGAGAAAATGAGCGGTATTGAAATCAATAAGTATATTAATAAGAAATGCTATGACTGTTGCCACTTCAAAAAAGAAAATATGGAATTGTATAAATTAAATTTACCTAATGGAATAATACATAATATTATTGATTATGCTTTGGGTGAAGAAGATTTATGTAAAATTTGTAGAAATTGGAGGTTTTATCAAGAATTAATCAAATGTACTTTAAGTATTAAAAGGTTTAATGAAAGAAATGTTGAAGATGACATTTTGATATTTTTAACTGTGTATGAAAGACCACCTTATAGTTATGTTAGAGCATTTCTGAAAATCAGTAAGAACAAATATGAAATGATTGCAGGTATATTATGGATGTTGACTTGTCATTTTAGGGAAGGGTTTGATGTAAAAGAAGAAATTAAACCATATATTGGCAGAAAAAAGTTTAATGTTAAAAATACAGTGAGAGATATTAATATTATTTTTAAAATGATGTATGAAATAAGTGAGATTTGTCAATTAAATTATTATCCTGAACTTAAATTATAGATTACACCATAAACCTTACAATAAAAAAACATTGTACGATTTATGTTTTGTAATATTTTGTTAATAATTTAAGTTTATATTCATTCTTTGAAAATGACTTAAGGAAATAGTGACTTAATATATTAGTGAGAAAATGAGCGGTATTGAAATCAATAAGTATATTAATAAGAAATGCTATGACTGTTGCCACTTCAAAAAAGAAAATATGGAATTGTATAAATTAAATTTACCTAATGGAATAATACATAATATTATTGATTATGCTTTGGGTGAAGAAGATTTATGTAAAATTTGTAGAAATTGGAGGTTTTATCAAGAATTAATCAAATGTACTTTAAGTATTAAAAGGCTTAATGAAAGAAATGTTGAAGATGACATTTTGATATTTTTAACTGTGTATGAAAGACCACCTTATAGTTATGTTAGAGCATTTCTGAAAATCAGTAAGAACAAATATGAAATGATTGCAGGTATATTATGGATGTTGACTTGTCATTTTAGGGAAGGGTTTGATGTAAAAGAAGAAATTAAAACATATATTGGCAGAAAAAAGTTTAATGTCAAAAATACAGTGAGAGATATTAATATTATTTTAAAAAATGATGCATGAAAGAGGTAAGATGTATCAACAATTTAACAGTCATCAATTAAATTATTATCCTGAACTTAGACTATAAATTAACCCATAAACCTTACAATTTAATTTTATTGCAAGATTTATGATTTGGATTTATAGATTTAGTTTCGAGGAATATTGATTATAGGAAAAACTGTTTAAAGGGTTGTAGGTAGTATATATTAAGGATTATGGGAGAGAATCATGATAAAACAGCGATTTGTAGCAAATGCACCAAAATAAAAAATAAAGATGAATTTGAAGAAGGTAGATTATGCTGTAGAAAATGTAATGAATATAATGTAAATCATAGAGCAAATAATTAAAAAAGATACAACGAGGAGCAAAGAAGAAGATTTAAAGAAGATGAGGAATATAGAAAAAAGAAGCAGGAAGCAAAAAAGGAAAGGTCAAGAAATATTGTAAGTTGTGATGTTTGTAATCGTTCAATGAGGCAAGACAGTTATTATCAACATCTTAAAACAAATAAGCATAAAAGAAATTTAGAAATGAAACAGGCAGAATAAAATTAACATTATTTTTATTAATAAATATTTTACATAAAATTGTATAAGGTTAATATGTAGAATACCGTCTTAACCTTATATAATATTTCAATGAAGTAAAAATTATTTTCAAGGAATTAGATAAGGTCAATGAATATGAATAATGTATTAACCTTATTTAATATTTGAATTATAAACCTATATTTTTGATTTTGGTAAGTTGTTATGAAATTTATTTTACTTCTTTCAACATCTGTATTGCTATTTTTTGGGGAACCACCACGACGGGAGACAAAGCTGGTGAGACCTGCGCCTGGCCGCACGGAATTGTCGGTGAGCGAACACATCCTGAAGATCAATACGTTGCCAGAAAGACTTCAGCACTTGGCCGACTTTCAGCTTCGCCATGTTGCCAGCGGCGAGTGATACAGCGGTGCTCACTTTCAGCTTGCCCAATCAGAGGCAGGGCAAAGCCACGCTGAGGGCAAAAGCAGCCAATCTGGAATCCGGAGGGAATCCGGAGGGGTCTAATCCCAAGTGGGCCTGGGCAATGCCTTTTGACTCCAGACTTTGAGACTATGATCGACCCAAGTCAACCTGCCACTTCGCGTTTGGGAGGTTATTTGTTTGTTTCTCCGACTAACAGGGCACTTGACTGGGGGTCCCTCAAGAGGAGAAGCTCTTCCATTCCACGTTCCCTGAGCGTACAGGTGCTATGATAGCTATGATAGTAGGAAGGGATTTGAATGTTTGCAGATTCACATGTGTTAAGGTGTGAATGGTCGGCTCCAAATCTTAGGCTCAGCACTCCTTGTCCAACTCGTGAGTTGATTTAACAAAGACTTCAGGGTTTGCACGTGTAATCGCGTGTGGGGACGTTCCAAGGGACAAACGGAAAACCGCCAAGTTGGAGGGTCCCAGCGGTCCCAGTTCCTATTTTGACACGTGCCCAGATTTCCCCAAGTTGAGACATCCGTTTTCCCCAAGTTGAGACATCCGTTATTAAACAGGCTCCCGCCTGCTGCCACCGACCCTCGAAAGTCACTTCGAGTTGGCTCCCGGGGCTCGTCCTGAAACTGGCCCTCCCGAAACTGCCCCTGGGACGGGTGCCCTTGACCGGTCGCAGGCAGGGACCGGGACTAGGGACCCTGTCCAGGCTGGTCCCAGGACCGGTCCTGAAACACGGGTGCCAGCCGCAAACCCAGGGACCACTTATACGATCCTCTACGGCCACAAGGATTCACGGAAAAGTCAGAAAGATGGCAGCTCGTCCGTCAATCACCATTACCGCTTGGGCCGGTTGGTCGTCGAAACTGGCCCTCCCGAAAGTGCCCCTGGGACGGTTGCCCTTGAGCGGTAGCCGACGCTCGGGGGTCCCTTTAAAAGGAAGCCGGTCTTCCAGGACCCCACCACGGTTCCATGTGAATTGGTGGCAGAGTAATGTTGACCCTATATCAATCAACCCCAGTTTAGTCATAGGGGTGCTTTTCCCTGGGTGTAGTGGGGGATCACCTTTTGGAGGAGGACACCTTGCTGTTAATGACATGGGGTCACGAGTAGATGGGTTTAACCCACCTTGGAACTCCACCAGCCCTCCTTCCGTCAACCCGGGTCACGCCCGTCGCCCGCGCTTCCGGGGCCCGGGCCGAGGCTTCACCTGGGTGGAGGCCAGAGATGCCTTCAGCGAGATCGATTTGATGTGGGGCCCGAGGCTCAGAGAGATTCGTTTCCGAAGGCGCGGAGGCGCAAATGCCGCGTGCGTGGCTTGAAATTTTTCGTCCGGTTCCCCCCCCCCCCCAAAACAAAAAAGGGGGCTTTACCTGGCTGGTGCTCCGAAAGGAATAGTTGGAATGAACCTGGGGATTCCCTGGAAGGAAACCAGAGGGGATGGTTTATTGTGGTACTTTGTGATGATCCGAGAGAACGCGGGAATTTCCTTCCAACAATCTCTAAATGTTGGCTTCAAGGGAAGCCGCCCCCAAAAGCAATTAGTGAGAACCTCCATGAGGGGGGTTTCAACATGGGCCTTTAAGGGGTATCTTCTTGCAAAGGCTGCACCTTAGGCAGCCCGGGTCCAAAAGGAAGCGTCGGAAGGCAGACCCGGTTGGTGCCCTTGGAACGCTCAGTTTGAACATAGATGGATTCCACTGGTTTGGTTCCCCTCATGCCTTTGGAACGCCTTGGGGGAGCTTGCGCCGGAATTTCCCAGGTTGGCTGTTTGAAGCCTATATTGCCTTCTGCCTCTTCGCGGCCCCGAGCTCAATCGGGTTTGGCAAGCCGCTTTTTGGTGGCACGAAAATCCCACTTAATCACAGAATATTGGTCATGGGCTGGGCTTTAGTTTTTTTAGGTTGGACAAACTGTCAAAAACAAACTCACCCGCACTTCTTTTTGTGTATGCCAGATTTGGGACAACATAGGGACGATAGTCAGAGGTATGTTGCTGCAATAACTAGATTGAAATGCGCAATCTTACATGAAAGTGGCAAGGTCGTGATAGAGATCGGACTGTCATTTGGTGTTTAAACAGAAACGGCTGCTTACTTTCGACAACCCTGGACCGCGCTGGAAGTCTGGTATCGCCGAATTGGTAGTGTAAGTTGATTCGATGGTCCAAACAGCTCCCACGAATGGTTTGGTCATCATGTCCAGCTTTGCCTATTGTTCATTTGGGAGGGACGTGGGGTGAACTCTAAATGTCCCACAAAGAGAACTGATCGCTCATCTTTCCACGCTCCTCTCGGGGGAGCAAGCCGGCCTCACATGGAAAATGGAAGTCGGGTGGCCTGGTTCTCTTCACTCTCAAGTGAAACACATGCAGAGAGACTCTATGAATTCAGGGGAGCCAAACCGGGTTCTAGTTACTACAGGGCCTACACTGGTTCTAGCTCGAGCACTTAGGGCCACATGAATAGCTCGAAGTATGGGCAGCGTTTCTTGCGCTTCTCACCCGGCGGTCTGTGAGCAGCCCGTAGGTTTTTCTGAGGCAGAGAACCGCGTAGTAGGCGTCCTTCAGCTGGCTGCGTGTGTGTCTGTCTTGATGTTTTGTGCTGGGTGTTGCGCCTTGCCATAGACCTTTGTTGACCAACTTGCAGCACGGCAGCAAGCACTTGGAGCTGTTCACCTTGCTTCCCATTTGTGGTTGCATGGCTATTGTGTCCAATCCTGTGCGCTTTTTTTCTTGTTTCGTTGCCAATGAGTTTTGACGCTGCGCCTTTTCTGTTTTGACGAGTTCTGAAAGCACAGTGTCTTCTGGAGCAGCACGTCTGTCGTCACAACGTTTGTCTTCATGAAGGTTTTGTTGGACAATAAACGCAACTTGAACCTATAGCCAGCGAAACGAAATTGTGTTCCACCCCGTGCGAAGACGCTGAATCAGGTTCCTGAAAGTCGTGGCCTGTGTAGCTTTTAAACTGCATTAGCATCATCACTGACGCCCTAGCAGGCTGCGAACTTTTGTCGGTGCATCAGTGTATCTATGCGGTGAAGTGCCGACATGCATGCTGTGCATCCAGAAGCATCAACACTTCATTTATGCCAGGCAAAGACTGACACTCAACAGAACTTCTTAGGAGCGCAAGCTACCTGGTTTAGTAAGTCAGAACCATGGTTTGATGTGGACCAGCCCCAGTGATAAGCTTGGTTTTAACCTGCTTTCTAAGTTGGTTGAACAGTCAAGAAATCTCAGGATTGGCATGAAGCGGCTCTCGCAAGCCCCGAGGTTTTGAACGTCATGACGGGGGTTTTCTGCCACTCAGCGATCGAAAGTCGGAGGCTCAGCGTTCAAAAACAACTTGACCGAAACTGGGTCTCCTCCAAGTCAATTTTATATGTTAGGTAGACTGCACATAGACGAGAATCTCAAAATGTGGGTTTCTCGGAGAACCGCAGACGAGGGTGGGGCCAAGGGAAAAAGACATTCGCGCAAAAGTCAGCCATGTGGGACTTGGAGCCAGCAGTCGGCGGGAAAGCTTGGTTAGCAGATTGCATTGAACAAAACATGTCATGGGTGCTGCATTACATGCTGCGACATGTTGCAGAGAACATTGCACCCGGAGAGTGCCCTCTGTTGTATAATTCTGACCAAATCATATCTCCGAATTGGTGACACGCGCACTCTTGGATTATGAAGCCAAATGCAGCGAAGCAAAGAACACTTCGCAGAAGCCAAACGAGCAAAGAACAACAAATCTATGAACTGCCTGTCTTCAGAGCAGACTGGGCTTGCTTTATTTGTTAGTTTGCTTGTTTAATTTGGGTTTTGGCAAACATCCCAGAAAGCGAAGATAACGAACAGCCGAGAGAAGCCAAACAAACAAACCAAACAAGCAAGTCTTTCTTGACGTTACACAGTTCATTGTTTGTTGATTTTCTCGGTTCGTGTTTGTTCTCTTGGTTTCTTGAGGTGTTGACAAAAGCCCAGAGAACCTCGAGAAAACCACAAATAACCAAAGCAACAGAGAAACAAAATACAGTTTTCTCTGAAGACAGGCAGTTCATAGTGTGTTTTTGGTGTTTTTGTTTTCTTGATGATTTCTGGGTTTTTGGCAAGCACCTCAAGAAAATCAAGACTATAGTAATACAACAATGCAACGCTTGAGGAAACACAACACAACCCTGAAGACAGGCAGTTCATAGTTTGTGCTTTTGGTACCTCGAGAAAATCAATGAGACAAGAAGCACAAAGTAAAACTTTAGAAAGCAACAAAGTCAATCACACAAAAGACACCACAGTCTCCCCTGAAGACAGGAAGTTCATAGCTTTGTTTTGCTAGTTTCTATGTTTTCTCATTTGTTTGCTTAGTTGTTTTTGGCTGAAGCGATTTGGGCTCGAGGCTGGTCAGCCCGGCTTGGGTGAGCAGCTGCTACAGAAGCGGAAGGGCTAGTCACATCGCACGCTACGGCTTGTGGCTGTTTTCTCGGGTGGCTGGCTTGCGGGTAAATTAATCGAAGTCTGCCACTTGGGTCACTTGGGTCACTGAGTCACTTGGGTCACTTGGGCTTGTGTGAGCATTATCTGAAGCCTGCCACTTGAATCACTTGGGTCGCTTGGGTCGCATGGGTCGCTTGGGTCGCTTGGGTCGCTTGGGTCACTTGGGTCACTTGGGTCACTTGGGTCACTTGGGCCTTGGGTCAAGTGACTCAAGTGTTTCAAGTGATCCAAGTGCTCCAAGCGACCGAGTGATCCAAGTCACCCAAGTGACCCAAGTGATCTAAGTGATCCAAGTGACACAGTGAAGCTTACGCTCCGACCAGCCTGAGTGGCTTCTTGGCACACGAAGCTTCGGTCACGTCTTCTTTTCATTACAAGAACTTCAGCTTATAGCTCAGGAGCGGCTGCGATCCAGGCGCAAAGTGTTGGGTTGCAGTGGCTTTTTTCCGAGCGGCCTCCACCCGGAGGCCGCTGCTACCACCCGCCCGAGTCCTGCAAATGCTTCACGTGTTTCACCCTCGCGTAAGGTTGCACGCTGAGCCCGAAGCCTCCTTGGGTGTTAGTTCCCACTGAGAAAGACGTGTCATGGGTGAGCTTGGGCCAAGCCATGAGAGTCACACGAATTTCCGGAATCGTCCCATAGCGCCCCTGGTAATGGCTGTCTGGGCGTTCCAAGTGGAAGCAGGTCGGGCGTGCCTTGGCATGTGATGTCTCTTTGTTCACTTGTCTTTGTGGATGATAAAACTATGGCGGCGTCGCGGGCGTGGTGCTTTGCTGAGGCTATGGCTATGTCTGTTGGCGTGCGCGAAAATGCGAGCAAAGCTGCTGCCACTGCGGCGCCTCTTCTTCGGACGCGTGAGGTTCGGGGTGCTCTTCCTCGTCAGGCTCGGGAGGATGTTGAAATCTTGGGTGCGTGTGCTATGACTCAGCGGCACCGTATCAGTGACAAGGAGCAGGGTTGCGTGGATGCTTGTCTCAGGCGGATCCGCTTGGTTTGGTGCGCTGACCTTCCCTTTGAACGGTTTATGCGTGCCTGCCTTTGTACGGTATATAAAGCTGGTCCACTTTGAGTGTGGGCGGCTGTCTATGATGGATCTGGTCGGCTTGAGCGGAGCAAGGTCATCGGTTCCCAGTCGCGTGCTCTTTCGCGTTGGCGTGTTGGGCGTCAGGCCCGTGCTGGAGTGGATAAGGCCCGCGTGGTGCGTCCTGGTCACCTATATGTGGCCTTGGACGGTCTCATGTTTCGCGCTTGTGTGTCTGGGAGTACTGAGCAAGCTCAGGCGTGGCGGAGGTGCAACAGCGCTGCTTTCGGAACCGGTCCGTCGGCCGGTCCTCGGCGTGCGGCGCTTGCCTTTGGCTTCGGAACCCGTTTGTGTGGTTTCGTGAAAGCCTGGCTTGTTGTGGTGTCATGTATCATGAGGCCACTTGTGCGTGTGCTTGCAGGGTCGCTTTGCGTAGTCGGATCACTTGAGTTACAGTTGGGCCGGCGTCATGATGAGGACGTGGCTGCGGTGTTGGTACTTGGCAGCACGCTGCTTGTAATCCTTGCAGCCCGTTTGGGCTGGAGCGATGGGGAGGTGCTTGGGCACTTGGAGAACACCAGACTGCGTGAGGTTCTTGATGCTTGCTTGCTTGCTGGCTTGCCTTGCCCGTCCTGGCTCGCGCTTTGTCCAAACACAATTAAACAAACCCCTAAGCAAGGCAACAAAGAACAAACAAACAAACAAACAAACAAGGCCAACGCCCCTGTAAACGCGCCAAAAAATCGGCGAGGGTTCCTCTTGTTTTTAGGGGGGGCTCCGAGGAGAGGGTTGCCCTTCAGTTCCCTCGTTGGCTTTGGAGTCTGTTGGTTTCAGTTAGTTGCGCTGTGGTTGCCTGAAGGTGCAAGAGCATCCTCAGTCTGCATGTTATTGACTCCCTCTGAAAAAAACCAGTGCATGTCCATGTCTTTTTGAGCAACCTTCCCGAACCTGAGAAAAACCAATACATATGCAGGTCTTTTTTACAAACCCTCCGAGCCCTCAAGAAAACCAGTGAGTTTGCCTGGCTGCTTGGACAAACCCCACGATCCTTGAGAACTACAAACGAAAAAGGAAACCGATGCGCAACCAGAGTTCATTTTGTCCAAGGGGTTCCTTGCTTTGGAGCGCTAAACCCATCAGCCTCAGGCGCAGAGAAAGACCACGAGCTGAATCTTCAAATGGTGGCCGCGGAGCGAGCCAAGTACTTCCGAGCGGTGAAGCGCTTGTTCGCGCAGCTGCTCGGAGAGACGTGGCGCGTAGACCCCGTTTTTTAAAAGGGGCCAACTGGGAAACCCGTGTTCGGGGCCTTGCTGGCAAACCACGGTTTGAAAAAACCGAATGGAAGATTTGCAGTTTGGGAGGTACCCAGCTTAAACCCATATTGGTGCGAATGTGCCTCCCAAGCATTCTTCAATCCCTGCGCAACCTTGGATCCGAGCGCTGGACATGCAAGAAGGAATGCGCAGATCAGGTCTTGTCGTGTTTTTTGCCTCTCCTCGGCAATGCTCATTTTGTAGTGCTAACTAAATATGGAACAGAATCTGAAAGTCATACGGCCATAAGTTGTGATGAGGGGACCACCTCAAAAGGGTTTGGTGGACATGAATGCGCACCTAAATGATGTCCAAAGGGTCCGGGACCCATTCGAACTCACACGAACCCTGGGCCCAGGGTTCCACGTCAGGTTGGATAAAGATCAGGATGGAGGCATCACGGCGAAAGAGTTTGAGGCGCGGAACGTGAACAGTGAACGTGGAGGAATTAGGTCCACGAGCGTCCGCTTTCTTCCAACTGGGTTGCTCTGCTTTTGAGTTCCATTTGACTCCAACCAATGAGGAAAGGCGACAATGATAAACAATCAAAGGACACCAGCGAAACCCGCAAAACGGCTTGAGTTTCCTCTTGCGGATAGGCTTTCTGGTTGAAGCTTGGTTGAAGATAGATTCCGCTATCTTTGGGAGCCTCCACATCTCTGTGTTGTCAACGATTCTTGGGTAGGTCGTTGGTGAGCAATCCCGTTGAGCCGCCTGACAAGACAGTGACTATTAATCGGGTCCCTGTATTTCCCGAATTGGCAAGCTTATACGTTGGACAGATTGTCACATCCTGCTTCATGCTGCGCTTCATGCTGCCCGGCTAGGCTTGCCTGAAATGCACATGGGGTTCTCAACCTCTATGTAGCTTTCTGCCGCTTTGTAAAACCCTACGTTGTGCTTTGGATTGATGGTTTCGAGAGTTTACACCCCATCTCCTGTTGAAGCCAAATTCATGCATGGTTGTTTCTGTAAGACTTTGCATGCAAATTAACCACTGGCAAATTACAGGGGTTCCCGGGTTCCCCTTCATAGATCCTCTAAACTACAAGCCCCAAAGCCACCAAGTAAATGGGACGCTGACAACAAATTCAGGAACCCCAAGAACTCAACCCAGGGTCCTTCATCGCAGCATAGTATGCCACCCCGCGGGTTTAAGTCTGCTTGGAGGTAATTTCGCAACGTGTGGTGGAAAGTAGGAAAAGCTAAAGGTTCCCCATTTATGGGGCCTTGTGAGGGTCTCTGGGCGAACAAGAGAAGGGGGGCACCAACCCTCCCAGCCACCTAACCAAACCGCCAAACTAAACCGCCAAACCAAGCCACTAAACCAAGCCACTAAACCAAGCCACTAAGCCAAGCCAAACCAACCCAAACCTAGCAATATAAGATATACAAGGGGCAAACCATTGGGTAGGGTGCTTTTCACCGCTTGGGTGTTTTGGGGGTCTGCCGGGTGTTTTGGGTGTCTGTTGCTATCTTTTCGGTGTTTTTGGTGTCTGGTCGGTGTTTTGGGCGCCTGCTGCCAGGAGCCCAAAGCATTACTCGTCCATGGCTCCTGTAGTCATGACTAAATTTGGTTTTGAGGTACCCCACACCCCCACTCTAAGTTGTCTGCCTGTGTTATGGCAAGCTGCCCCGATCCGGGGATAACACGACCGAAGCTGCTTGATGTAGGTCCTTTACTTGATCGTCTATCTCAGGTTTTGGAATCATAGTAACATTTGAAGAATCCTGGTCCAATTTCCTTCAAGGGAAGCCAAACGAAATTGTTTAACCAACTCTCCCAATCCAGAAACAGACATGCTGACTCCAAATCAACTGGGGCCTTGTTTTTAATTGTTTTCCAGGTCAAGCATTACAAACGATGTATGCCCCAAAACAAGACAGAAAACAAGAAACGATTGGTGGTTTAAACAAAACACACCCCACCTCCCCGCTCCCCCGAACCCCCAAAAAGATAGGCAGATCCCCCCCAAAACAATAACAAAGGAAAAACAAGACAGACCTCCATTGGGGCCCCCATTTTTCCTGCTTCTTCGGAGACATGGCGCCTTTAAAACCAACTGCCAAAAGAATGACTGCCGATCGTCTTTTCCAAACGAAAATCCACTGGGGGGTAGGCCGCACACAACTTCGGCGCTCAACAGACTTCGTAAGAAGGCTATAACTATCGTCATAAGGGGATACGCGCCGCTTGCCCAAGTTATAGCCATGATTCTACCCAACTTACATTGTCGGTCGAACATCCAAGAAAACATGTGGGTTTGACGGAAAATCGGGACCCCCCCAAGCAAAACAAGCCACAAAGGGTTCCATCGCGCGCGTTTGGCTCCGTCCCCGAGATCGCCTTGGAAAACCCCGCGCTGATGCACGTCTTCGACGCGCTGGAGCTGAGCGTGGAAGATGCCTGGGCGCTGTTCCGGACCTTGGACAGCGCCGGGGGTCCCGGATCTCCGATCAAGCCATGGCGCCGGTCAAAATAGGTGGACCCAAGCAACGGTGGTTGTCTTTTGGGGCGGGTGGCTTTTTTTCCCTTAAAAACAAGTACGGATCCAATTGCTTGAGAACAGTTTTATGTTTCTCTGTTTTGATGTTTAAGGGAATCTATCACTTGAGATATGCCCGTTTTTTGTAGGGGCTCAAGCAAATGGACGTTTTGGATCGTTCAAGGGAAGCCAGCAGCAAAACCATGTCAGGAGCCCCAGCCCGCTTCCGGCGGACGGTCAGGGGACAGCACGTCAAATGGTGCGGGAAGAAACCCTCAGAGAATCTTTACATAGTTTTGGATAGGCCGCTTTACCAGGTTTGGATTGACCCGGGAAGAACCTCGATGGATACGCTGGGCTTCATTACAGCAAACAATCATAACATGTAATCATCAAGCCCCCTAACGTGCGGGAACCTCGAAATTTTGAGATCGGAAAGCTGACATGTCCGAAGAAAAAGAAGAAAAAAGCGAGGTTCCGGCTTCGGGCCCTTCGAAATATTCACGAAGGTTCGGGCAAATCTCCTGTCTAACAAATATTTGGCTGGCTTTTGGCACGAGCAAATTAGCAGGGCTATCTATTTTACCACACACAACGAGCAAACGAGCAAACGGAAGGTTTCCGTGCACCTAAGATACGTAAGCACTGCGGCTTCATAGGGGTTGTTTCCCCCATCAGTGGTGGTTCCGCCTAACATGGAACCCCCGTGATCATCAACCAGGATTCAGGGTTCCCATTGTAGCGAGCCAAAGTCCGAAGCGGCAAGGGGTTCATATGAAGTTCGGTCAAAAGTCAAAATGTCCAGTAGTCTATGGTTCATTCGAGCGGGACATGGAGGGACTCGCTACAATTCCCACAGAAAACAGGGGATGGAACCCAACATGCTCTCGGAAGGCACGTTCGTGCCTCGGGGCACGGGGCACAAAGCAAACGGCCCGAAAATGTCCCTACATGTCCATTCCGGGACGATATGGGTGTATTCGCAAGTAGGTGATTCCCCCAACAAGGTTGGTATCTTCTTGAGTTCTCTTTAAACCATCCAACGGCGAGAGGGTGCCACAAATTGATCTTGGCTGGATTGCTCTTGGCTGGGTAAGTGGGACGATGCCGCACCACCCCTTTCCTGAAAAAGCGCAGCCCAGAAGAGAGCAGCTGGTCCTTGAGGCGCAGTAGGCCCCTCTGCTTTGCATCCTGCCTAAAAATGCTGCGTGCTCGAAGATGCATTGTCACTTCGCACTCTGGTCTTTTCTCGGATTCTACGCCTGCGCGCTTGCATTGCGGGTTGCTTGGTCTTTCTGCACCTCGAATGCTGCTTCACATTTTGCCTGTGTTCCAAGGATAGCTCGCGTTGCATTGTAAACATTTCACCATACCGACATTCCCAGCCCATTGGCCGAAATGGACACATTCCATGCCAGGTCATGCTTATTCGCGATCTGGCTGACGACTTTGCCCAAATCAAGCAAAGAGTGGGGGTTTTCTTGTGCGAAGGGGCTTGAATAAAATGTTGTTCACCAACATGACGCTGAATTTGTTTTGCTGATCGTCAATCGTTTGTGCTTTGGCTCCACGTGTGGATAAGCCGCATTTCTTGCAATACAAAACTGCCGTCTCGGAAAGTCAAGATGAAGTGCCCAGTCTCCTGCAGCCCATTGGCGAACAAGTCATCACCATTTGTCTCTTGCGTGCTTGCACTTGATGTGCGCTCTTCAAATCCGAGCCAGCCTCATTGTATGTCAACAATGCGATGGGCCAAGTGCTCATCCTGTCAGGAAGTAATGCTAGCAAAAGAAAAAGAGCCGCTGGCTTGCACAAATGATGCAAATCAATCTTGGATGGGTCTTCCCTTGCAGGTCTATTGCTTGCAAAACCAGGAATATGAGAAACACTGTGCAAGGTCCTCTCGAAGGGCCAGCTTGCATACCCCACATGGCATACCCCACCTATAGGCCTATAGGGATGGAGTATAACCACCAATTTTGGAGTGTGTCCATTTGGGGCATGCAAGTTGGCCCTTGGATCCTCCTGAAGTTGCAAGAACACTCGACTGGCCCTTGTCTGCGATGTCGCCAAATGTCCTGCGCGATCAAACCTCCTTTTAACAGGAGTCTCAAGACCGATGCATCCTGCAGCGCCTCTTCAAACCATTTGTTTTAAGCATCCCTTTCAAGTTGTCTCAAATGGCGCAACAACCCTGTTCTGCGACACTCGTTTGAATTGATCCTTACGCGAGTTCTCTCGCAGTCGAATCAAAAGCAACTCGACAGTTTGTTGAACCCCCCTGGATTTCGGTCCTCTATGAGCCTTGCCTACTTCAGTTTTCGGCCAGGATAGCAAGTGGTTAGTAACCCCAGGTTATACGCCACTTAAGCCTGTTGTTGTTGGTACCCAATTAGCAAGTACCCCGAAAACTTCATTTCCTCTTGGTGTTCCTTCCAAACAAGGAGGGGGGCCCTATTTTGGGAAGCAACCCCTAAAACAATCATGGAACCTGAAAGGGCCTTCTGGTTCGGATCATCCGCGGAGAGCTTCTTGAGGCACGGCTAAGAAACCGATTGCTATCGGGAGGCTCCCGCAAGGCCCCAAGCGTTGTGACGCCGTGGCGAAAAGTCATCATCAGACTCAAAGATGCCCACTGCTTGTCAATGCTATGCTGTCAAGTGACTCTATTTGTCACCAGTTGGCACACCCCTCAGCTGTGGGCTGTTGAGGCAAGTTCAATTGAGGCAGGTTTGCAGTGGACGCAACGAGCGATCAGGCATCCTGAATGGCAAGTTGTCCAAAAACTTAGCGATGGGACACATCCGTGCTATCAAGGCTGCGGCAAATGCCGGCTCACCTGCAAAGCACAATGTGCCTGGAATTCTGGTCCTGTCTATCAAGATTTTCAGACGCACACGGCCATTCTATAACTTGTTCACACCTCAAACGTGGTCGCTGGACTTTGTTGCCCCCAGCGGAGCGGGTCCTTTTCAAGCCGTTAAGATTCCTGCATAAACCATATCTGATTCCCTACAGGTTCCCCTTCCAACCAACAGATGGTCCGAATCCCATTTTGAGAACACCCGCAACTTGCTTGGAGTTAGCAGTGCCTGAGGATGGAGACTCCCGTGTGGGGCCTCTGGAATTTCTGGAAGGCCAGATGCAAACTTCGGCCGACGTCGGCTGGGTTTAAGGGATTCTCTTTTTTTAACCCACCCCTGGTACCTGTTTTGGGGTAGGAGCCAGGTCCTGAAATGGCACGTGCAAAGGAGGTTGGTTTCTGTCCATGGTTTCACTGGGGGTTGGGCCTGCAAAGCTCACTCCCCAAATGGTAGAATCCCGCGAAGGAGATTCCTGAAAATCTTGCTGGTTCGTGATGAAGAGGGTTCTGGGAATGAACCATGGATCCTTTCAAACGACACAAGGGGTGGTTCCGCTTGGGGTTTCAACTTGGTAGTGGGTAGCTCGGGTATCTGGTTGGTCCCATGGTTACCTACCTGACGTTGGTTGCGCACCCAAGTTTGCAGCACCCTGACCAATTGGAATCTTCTGGACCTCTTAGCAAAGGGCTCAACAATGATTATCTGATTGGAATCTTCTGGACCCCCTACCAACGGGGCCCAAACAAGTAAGTCTCCCTCAGGAATTGCAGCTACCCCCGTTTCGATCAACTGGAATCTTCTGGAACCCCTAGCGAAGGGCCCAAATAAGGCTCCCTCAGCAGCTACCCGTAGGAATCGGCTGCCCGTAGGATTCGGCTGGCCGTAGAGATCGGCTGCCCGCAGGCTGCTTGCGTCTGAAGGGCGCGGCGAGATCCATCGACGCCGGCGGCCAAGGGCGCACCGCGAGGAGCTGGCGGGCATGGGGTGACAGGGCCAAATGGGTGGTTCCCATTGCGAGGGACATTGTTGTTTTGTGGCAAAGGACAACTACGATTTAATGCATTATATATATATACATATATATATATATATATATATTTGGGGGGGAGGGGGGGGGGTCCAAATCCAATCCACCAAGCCATTCTAATTAGTTAGGCCTGGTTTCAAATGAATGCCGCACCCAAGGCCTTTCAGCGATGGTATGCACAAATGCATGGCTGCAAGTCCCCGTAGGCAAAGGTATCCACGGGATTCCCCAAGCCAAAGTAGGTCCCCAGTTGCAACCCATTTTCCCCTTTGTGATGGGTTGCCTCTGAAATCCGCCAAACAAAGCAGGGTTGCCGCCAAACAGGGGGATCTCATTGGGTCGTGGAGACCAGTGGCTCTCGGTGCTCGGTTGCAACTCTTTGTGGCCGAGGGAGTCCCCTGAAAAAACTGCCTCCCACATTGGCGTCTTGCTTTTTGGGGGCCCATGGACATGTAGGTCACTCGGATTTCATTATTTGCTCTGAGGTGGTTTGCATCAAGAGAGACCTGGCCTCCGTGAGCAACAAGCTCGACACGCAGGCCGATCTGGATGTGGGAGGCAACCCTTGACTGTTCTTGGCGTTGTGCTTGCTTGGTGACGTTTTTAGGTGTTTAGGGTTTAGATTTGTGTGGTAGCTGCCACTAAGCTACTAAAGGTTAGACTTTTAGCAGGGGGTCTGGGAGCATGTTGTTTTTCAGGGTTTTGGTTCTGTTCAATTTGAGTTGGGCTGCAGGAAACAAGGTTGCTTTGCTCATATGCCTAGGAGGGGAAAGCGAAGAACATTCAGTTGGGGGTCCTGAAAGTTTCCCTCCAGGTTCTTGGTTTCCTTGTTTGCCACTGAAGCTGCAGCAAAGAGTGGTCGCCGATTTTGAGAAACACCCAGTGGTTCCCGGACACGGGAGATCAAAACAGAATGGCATAGTTTTGAACTGACGCTTTTTAATGTATCATGAGCCCGCAAGTGCAACATTGCAGCCTAACCGGTGACTACTGAACAGTCAGGAGAGGAAGGGCCGTAGCCTTCCCTCCCTTCGGGTGCCTGGGGGTTGTTGTTGGGGATACCACCTGTGCTTGTGTTTCTCTGATCCCGCCCAGAGGTCAAAATCTGTGCAAATCAACATGGCTGCCATGGAATTTGTTCGAAGAGTTTAGACAATTCCTTTATTCTCCTTCGCCGTAATCGCGGCTTCACTGTGGGGCTTTGCGCTGGTGGCGCGGATCGGTGGCGGTTCCTGCCTGCCGTTGGTGCATCGTCTCAAGGGACTCCAGAATCTGCAGCGGCGATACCATTGTAGTGAGCGCTGGGCACCTGCAACAAGCCAGCCGGAGGCTCGGGCTTCCTCTCGCTCTTGGGCGTCGGATGAAGGTGGAACAAAGGACCAAGTTCGAAAATCTCGACCAGGGGAGAAGTCTAGCTCTGCAAGAGGTCTTTTAGGAGAATCTCGGAATGCGGATCAATTATATACTTGATGAAGAATTACGGAAGCAACAACATGTCACTCAAGCACAATTACGCGAAGCGGCGCACCAATACGACGAAGTGAAAGCTCTGCAGAGCAAGCGTGTTGCCTTGTTGGCAGAGGATCCGAAAGCTGGAAAGGATGAATACTACATTGGAAGCACAGGTTGCTCTTGCGCAGGGAAGAATGAAGGATGAATATCACATTGCTACCGACCAACTGAGAGACAGGAACGCACAGCTAACCAAAGTGGAAGCAGCGGAAGCTATGGCGTTCGGGATGAGGAATGAGAAATTGCAACATCGTCGCAGGAAGCAGAACATGCTGCTGCAGAGTAGTCATCGCAAGCTTGTCAGGGGATGGGAGAGAAGCAAGAGATGCATTAAGAGCGGACCCATGCAGGCAGGCTTAGCCCGCTGCGGGAGAGCTGAGAACGGAAAAATGTTCGCTGAACCCCCGCAAGCGGAAGCTGGCAGATTGCTTTGATGGGATCTCGCGTTTCGATCGCTGCGCCATCTGCAAATCTGATCAGCACAAGCTAGCGAAATGCGAGAAGGAAGATGTGCGAACCATAGTTCGGAGGCTCGCGGTTGCCAAGGCAGAAGAAGCACGCCCCGATCAGGGGCGGGCGAAAAAGGAAATGGAGGTGGAAAACAACACGGCCTCGTCCAGCGATGGTGGAGAAGCAGGAGCCAACGCGGGCAAGAAAGCCCCTTAACTGAGGCGAGAGGGTGTTTGGATCCATGCGTGCGTTCTTCATCCAATGGAGAATCAAGGCCAAGCTCATGAACGAGCTGGCAGAGAGCTACTTGGGGGGCAACCGCGTGAATGAGGATGGAAACTCTCATGACGTGGGACCTGCCACCCACGCGGATTATGACGTGACCCAGCAAGAGCTGAAGCGAGAAGACGCAACGCGCCTGCTCACGGGAGCGCCGGACGAGCTTTGCTGGGAACAAGCAAGGGGCGATCGCAACGAGAACTATCACGCGTGCAACACAGACCACCTCCCCAATTGCATCATGACCGGCGCCCTCTGCCTATTGGTGATTGCAGTTTTTGCTGGTGTCTCACGCCTTCCAATTGATATGAAGCGTGTTATGGTCCCACACATCGGTGATTTGAGCATTTCCGAAAGGGAAAGAACGAGCCAGCAACCGTGTTTGTAGGTGTCGCTTTGAAATAAGTTTTAGGTTGAGCTGTCAATATGTTCTGCGCCGCGGGGATTCTTTTTTGGTAGGTCTCAAGCGACTTGCGCAATTGGGAGCGGTTACATGTGGTGGCAAAACGCGGCTCACGTCTCTCCCTTTGTGCAGGCTTAGGTCACTGCATGGTGCAAAGGTTTGCGGAGCACTCTGTGGGAGCAGGTCAAAATAAACATCGAGCTGACTCCGCAATCGTGGCTTCATTGTCTGGCTTTTGCGCCGTTTCGGTCTTTTGGGCACAACGCATTTTCGCGTATATACATTCATATATTCGCAAAAAAACGTTAGCGCTGACGGAATACGAAACCGCATCTGACATTGGAGAGAAATATGATTTTGCAGTGTACCCTGAAATTGGGTTCTGAACTGGTCCGTGGATTCGTCCCTCTTCGCAGTGCAGGCGGCAGAGCTGATGGGGGCTTTGAAGCAGACGCTTCGGCGACTCTCCTAAGGAGTCAGCGCCCCAGCGAAGTCATGTCATTTGCCAGACGTACACAGCTTTCCTTTCTGCTTTTTTGCCAGTTTGTTCATTCCATCGTTGTCCCTTCAACCAGCAACAAACATAGTTCTGCAGGAGTGCATTTCTTCCGTTTTTTTTTGTTTTTGTTTGGCGGGGGTACGCACCATGTGTAAATTGCAATCTTTTCCATGTTTTTTCGGCACAGGTGCAATTTGAAGGTGTTTTTTGCGGTTGTACTGCATTTTCGGGCTACAAGGAAGAAAGCAAATCAGGAGACCAAGGAACTCTATTCAATATTCCAACTATACATATGTATCTAACAATCCTGAGACAGTCTTTTCAAACTGTGCCAAGAGTTCTGGGGGAATGTTTTTGTTTTTGGGGGTTTTGTAAATGTTTTTTTTTTTTTTTTTTTTTTTTTTTTTTTTTTTTTTTTTTTTCGCTTGTGGTTTTGGGCAGGGCTAATTCAGTGAGGGGCACACCCAAAAGTCGGGGCAATGAGCAGAGCCAGGCCTGAGAAAACATTTGGGTGTCTCTCAAACTGATTGAAATGAGCTTCCGGCCTGGAAGTTCGGGTTGATCTCCTGTTGAACAAAGTGAGTTTAGAACTAGCTTAATATGGAAGTTACAATGGACAGGAAATCCTGCGTAAAGATCAGGCTGGATCTTGTTTAACTCCGAGAAGCTGCTTCTTGATACAGTCAGCTGACCGGATGGCCGATCAGGATATCAAATGCCATTGTGCCGCTGCATTTTCCCCAGCCTTCAACATAGACAGTATCAACCGAACGAGCGCGCTGTCATCACCAGCCAGCATCTCTGGCATCACCAGCATTGCCCAGCAATGGCAGGAGATGCAGGGTGCATTTTTTGCAGAAAGCGGCTAATATTGCTCCAGAACTTCCCGCCCACCCCTCTTCCTATTTTTACTCCAACCTCTATGGACGGGTCCACTGCGGGAATGGATCGCGATCTAAGAATGGACGTACCCACAGGGTAAAACCTGATGTCCAATGACCCGTCAGGAACCCCCTTGGGTCGCAGGACCAAAGTCTTCGCGATGGGACCAAATAGGATCCAATGTTGTCTAAGAAAATATCTTGGATGATTAAAAAGCGAGGAACTCTTTTTAATCAAAGGGACGCGCCCTATGATTTAAAGGGTACCCTCCAAAGAAGACATGCCCGCATTGTGTCGTGGTGGGTTTGCCTTTGGTGTGGGTGTAGACCCATGTTCTATGGGTGAATCGACTCAATTGACAGCATCTAAGAAAAGGGCCTATTCTCCACCGACATCTTCAAACTTCCCCTCGAAATTGTGATTTGAAGGGAACCCGCCGGGTCACAGTAAACCTCTTGGCTCATGGATCTGCACGAGTTGATTTGTCTTTTGATATCATGTGGCCGTGAAGGGAACACGGAAGTTGTTGGGTCCGACACCGTGCGCCAAGGCATCGCCCCTCACGTCCGCGTCCGCGCGCGAATCGTTTCTGCGCCCAATTCGGCTGATTGGCCGATTGGCCGAAGCACCGAGCCAAGGTGTTTTGTTCGGAGGGGGACAGCCCAGTTAGCTATAACCTGCTGGATGAATATCCAAGTATCAGTCACCAGGTCACCCTTGGTGGTGGATTGTAAATATGAACTGCGCTAAGAAAGGTATATCTGACGGCCTTTTGGGAGCTGAGGAGCTTATGGTTGTGTTGCCATCAATAGGCCAAGAATGGTTTCTAGTTGACATTAGCGCCTTTTGGCACGCATCCTTGGGAGCAACAGCAAAGAAAGTCCTCATTTTGTGGGGCCAACGCACGAAGGATGATTTTTCCCACTGGAACGAGGGCCCGGGGAAAGGAGAAATCCATTTTCCTATTTGCACGAACAACGCGCGAAAGCCCCACGAACAGCAGGGTTAGCTTCGTTTGGGGCATCCGAAGTTGATGGCTGGATGCCGTTCTAGCTTTCTCACTTGGCACGGTTTAGAAGTCTGCTGACTTCTCCGAGGCGCATCAAATTCATCCGTTCTCCGACTCTTCTCAACCGGTCGGATCGGGTGGTGGTGTCCTTGATTAGTCGCACAGACGTTGAAACAAGCAAACGCATCTTCTCATTTGTAGAGGGATCTGGGTTTGTGTCAACATATGCAGAGTGAGCAGCCACTGCCCCATCCAGATACGGCGGCGCAACCCTGCGCGCCCGCTCAACGAGGCGGAAAAGAGACAAAAGAAACACGCAGTACCAAAACGAAACTCAACTCGTATGCGCCGCTGTCAAAACACCCTTTGGGGTTGGTATGGATTGTCACGGACCCCATGGCATGGGAATGTAGATAAATTCCTATTCGGGGATCCATGACCATGACCCTCAAAGCAATGTTCGTTGTCCTTTTTTTTTTGGGGGGGGGTTGGGGATTTCGGTATCCTCTTTTCGAGACACGCCGCAGACCCTCCTTTGCAATAATATTAGACACGCCCTTTTTGTAGGGTACTTGTTTTGTTGGTTTTCAAGTGACACGACGCGCCCCAAGACTGTTCCCTCAGCCCCAAGCTTCCTCAAGTTGTTCTTTAGCTCCGCTTATTTGTTTTGTGAAGCTCGGATGGAATCGGTCGATCAAGCCTCGGCGCCCGGGGGTTGGCTTCAGGCTCAAAGCTAAACTTAGCTGGGCCTCACCGCACCCGAGGGATCAATGGATGTTCTCAACATCGGCACATGTTTTTGTGATGGTTGAGGCGGTGATGCAATGATGGAGACACACTCAAAGTGCCGGGAGAGGGAAATTCAATCTCAGGAGACATATATATATATATACATATATATATATATATATATCTCTCTCTCTCTCTCTTCTTTGTAAGGCGTAGCTTTTCGGTCACTTGTCGTGATTCTTCGAAACATAGGTACCACAGTTCTCTTTCTTTATTGGGCCAGCATCCTATGTACTCCCAGCATACGTCGTTTTGGGGGGGGCGAAGTGCGCACGGGGGGGGGAGCTGTGCGCGGGTTCCCCGCGCTTCTTCTGCCGCCATGCCGGAGAAGGGCATCTCCCTGACGGCTCAGAAGCCCCTGCAGCCTCGGAGTGTGGACGACTCCTCTTTCCTCGAGGCGGGGCCCGAGAAAGAATTCGTCGGATCCATCCAACCCAAATGACGCCACAAACCGGAGGCACCAAAGCAGTTGGAACATCAAAATGGGGTTTGATCAATATTCCTGGCCCCAAAATGACCATGGGACACTTTTCCCATTTAGTGGTGAAAGTCATCTTGTTTGGTGGTTTCCCTGATGGTCATCCCATGTAAAGGAACTTTTGATCAATTCCTAAATGAAGAAACACAATGGCAACGGCATTGAACCAGTCCAGGGGTGAAAGTTGCACTTTGTGAATCCACTGGCGCCATATGCTGGTGTTTCTCAAGCAGTGGACCCCAAGTTCCCCTTAGGTTTCGCCTTGGAACAGGTGTTCTGCCAAACAAAACATCAGTTGAGGGTCCTCAGAACTCTCGGGGGAGTTGTGTTTCTTTCTTTTTTTTCTTTTCTGAGCGTATGGCATTTCTGCGTTTCTCTCCAGAATGCTTTTATATGTGAGATCGGTACAGGGGGACACCTAAAGATGGTGGCTTTCCTTTTGGTTTCCCTTTAAAGTTACTTTAAAGAGGGAACCATCGAAAGAAAAAAAACCCAGGTAGACTAAATATGGACCTGAATCTGAACAGGTCCCTTGTTGCCCGGGACCTGGCCCAAGAAGCCTAGTTGTGACCAAGTTGCTTTTTTGCAGCGGGTGGAACCGAATCGGGATCTCTGAGTCGAGCTTACTTTGGGTTCACTCAACGCCTAAGGGGCCTTGTAAGGAGCTTTATAGGGAGCCTTAGAAGCAAAACATAGGTTTGTGGGGTTCACTAAATGGGAATGTGACATAGGACATGGACCCCCAACATGGTGGCTCTCCGACGGAACAAGTCAGAACCACAACGCTTGTCATGCCGCTGCCGAACTCCCGGTGGGCTTTTGACAGGTCCCGTGAGAATTTGGTCGAACTCGAAATCCCTCCGGATTTGATGGTTCATTCCCCCAACCCCAGAGGACTCACCAATTGTCCCATTGGGAAAACAAGTCATTTCGATGGCGTTCCAAACTTCGGCGTCAGGACCTTACCGGTAGGCATGCCCATGGCAAACACCGCCTTTGATACATGGGTATGTGCCCTTTAAGGTTTGGTTGCCCTTTAAACCAGCCCAATAAGGGAATCCTCAAAGCCCTTGATTAAAAAAAACGGAGAAGAAAAAAAACATCTTGACAATTTCGAACGATAAAAGTGTTGTCCCTTGCGGATTCCTTGTGTCCGGTCTGGGCATTCAGTAACCCACCCACAATTGCCATGGTTCTAATCTACTTAGCTTCAACATTTGCCAAGCACCATGTCTTTCTTTTTTTTTCAAGCAAGTGCGCCCCGTTTTTTCCCATGGCCACGCTGGGCTCTCACTTGAGGAGCAAAGCCACCGTCACGAGTGCGACGCCTACGCACCGTGGCGAGAACTTGGGCTGCGGAGGCAAGTGCGCGGCAGTTTTGATCAATAAACACCAATAGAAAGTACAAGTCCACCTAACTCGTACAGGATCTTGTGCATCAGTCACTTTGGACACTAAAACCGCAAACCCTAAACTCCTAAGCCTCAAAACCACAAAGCCTAAACTTCAACCCTAATTCATAAATCCTCAAACCTGAACCCCAAAACCATTATAAACCTTAACCCCAAAACCAGAAACCCTAAACCTTTCCCCTCAAACCTTAACCTTCTACCATAAATCCTTCCTCAGGCTGCATACCGTCGGCATGCGCGTGCTAGAAGCACGACAGGCATTTGTGGTCAGCTGTCCGCGGGGACAAAGTCTGCAGGATGGCGAACAAGAAGCTGCGTGCGATGCTCTTGGGAGGCAACTCTCACCTTGAGATCATTGCGGTTGAGCGCCCGGTTGCAGACTGCTGTGCAAATCCGGCAAGGAGTTTGCAGCGGTGGAATGGCGGGGTTGGTCATCCCGCCTGTCTTGCGTCGGATGCTTGTTAAGCTTGGTCGGACGGCAGAGACCTCAAGCTTCTGGCTGTTGCGGATAAACGGAAAAACCAATAGCTAAGACATGTTATTTTTTTCGGGTCTCAAGGGACAAACCAAGAAAGTTGGTTTCCTCAACGGTTTCGAATTCTGGCGACCCATCTTTACCCTATATGAGATCATTCTGCATGATCTGGGCCTTTGGGCTGCAAAGTCGCTTCTGCAAGCCTCCATGCGCAGTGCAGCTAACAAATCATTCTGGCCCCCAGACATCGATTTGAGTGAGGATTTGGCAAGAGCATCTTTGGGGTTATTGCACCCACGGCCGTGTCGAATTCAACATGGCATGGAATTGATGGTCCTCCACCCGCACCCAGAGCAATTGAGACTCTGGTCGCGTGGATCAGTGAGAGGGCTTGGTCGCTTAGTCGCCCGAAAAACTTCGGCAACAATGCGACTTGCGCAGGAATCATGCTAATTTCTGGATAACTAGTGACAAGCTCGCCAATGAATGGGAAGAACCGAACCCACCCGTGATAAAGGTCTTTCACTGGAGGGTTTCTGATTTCCAGCTTACATTAATTATAGTAACTTGCCGCCAGATGTCGACTTTCCAAAATCAGGGCCCCATTTTGGATGGTTTGCGACTCAAAGGAAACCCACTATTTTCGTTGCATGTTTTCGGAGCTTCCTATGGGGGAGTGGCAACTTGATGGGGATGAGATTCCAAGTGCAGCAAAGTCCTGAAGCAGCGAAGTTTGTTTGTCTCAAGCCCCTACTTGGGTGCTCGGCCAAGCTGACAAGTGGTTAATCTGTCATGTGGGTTGCAAGCCGGTAACAACAGGGTAAGCTTCTCTCAGGGGGGCCTATAGACTGGCCAGAACATAGGTTACTAGCACCTAACTTGGCCGAGTACCCAAGTAGCCTTGTTTCCCTTTACAACTGGAAGATATGGGCGTGCCTTGTTTACCCCTCAGGTTGGCTAGGAAGCCAACGGGACAACTTTGTTTTTTTTGCGGGGTCCCCCGAGTTTTTCGCACACGGCATGTGTGCTTAGGCCGCTCTTGTCTTCAGAGAGACGAGAAGCTCTTTGCACGCCTGGAGGACACAGCCGGATGTACAAGGGCCCCAAATCCCAGTTCTATGTAGAAGAGGCAAAAGGTGCAGTTCCGTTTGTTGGGGGTCAATCGATTCCAGTTAATAGGATGATTGTGATTTGCCCAAAGTTACAGTGTAGTAGTGGATGGTTTTTGCTTGTCTTATGGCGAGCTCACTCTTACCATGAAGGCCTTTGCTTGGGATCCCTTATCATGGCTGGTCGTTGGTGCGAATCGCCCCTTCGACATTTGGAAAGAATTGACTTTTCCACTAAACCTGCAAAAGGCTGTGTCTGTGGCCCGCGGGGAAGAGCAGTTTGTTTATTTAAGATTTGGCTTTGATTTTAGAATTTGCGCATTCCCATCTTTCTGCCTCTTTAGGTATACGACCTATCGTCTCGAGGTATGGACCATTTGTTTAAAGGAAGTGGCTGTCATTTGTTGTACAGTCAATGTTGATAGTGGTAGCATCATGGGGCCATTTTAAGTATGTCTACACCACTGCCCGGTTGTTCGGGTAACTGCTCTCTAAACCCGGGCCGCCGGGATGTGTGTTTGCGCACATTCCTTTTGATTTCCCGTTGATCAGGGACCCTCCCGCAACGATCTCTCCCACAGCGGTCTTCATTAGCCGCCTTACGGCTCGCCCCATACGGCCTCAGCGGTGGGAGGTCTGCGGGAGGTCTGCGGGAGGTCTGTGGGAGGTCTGTGGGAGGGTGTGTAGGGTCCCTGATTTGACCGGGGAGACGGACTGCCTCATGGTTGTGACCATGGATTTTTTCGTGATGGCCCATCGGTATCACAGAAAGGTATGAGGTGCAGTCAAAAGTTCAGACAAAAATCACGCGACTTGCTGGTTCAGAGTTCCTTTCCCGTTTGGGTTGGTGTAAACATCATCTTGGATTATATAATTTAGGGAGGACATATAGAGAGCCCTGTTCAATTTTCCCATGTGCAGAAATGTGTAATGTGGGAGCCTGATTAATAACCCCCCCCCCCCCAAAAAAAACCAAAAATGCAGCCCCAATAGAGCAAAACCTTCAAAACCACTTTGGGGGTCAGATCGGCCTTTCCCAAGTTTAGTACTGACAGAGTATTGGTTAGTGTTGTTTAGTGTTTGTTTAGTATTGGTTTTGTAGTGGTTTAGTATTGCTTTGTGCTGCTTTACTACTGGCCTAGTATTGGTTAGTATCGGTTTCCTGTAGCCCAAAATTCGGTTTCTTTTTTTCTTTCTGACGGTTTGCTTGTCCCTTCTTTCTTCCCCGTTGCGAACAAACACGGCCGAATGCAGAAAGAAC